AATAATCATAAGTTCAAAAATAAATGTTGCATCGCATTTTTCAAGTGTAACTATTCCTCCATAGATATATCTTTTAAAAATTTAATAGATTTTAGATTTCTTTTTAAAATATAATATTGACTATAAATAATAATATAGTAATATAAATAACTTACTTTATAATAACTTCGAATTGTTGAATAGAAACGTTTTTTAAATCAAGTGTTTTAACATTATCCTTATCTTTACTGCTATTTGACAATTCATTACGAAAGTATAAAGATCTATGCCTTAAAATTGCTGAATGTGCTTGAAATTTCTTAGTAACTTGAGATTCGCCAACATTAATGACTACATTAAAATCTTCTTTGTCATCAAGAAGTTCTAGATAATTATTTGAAAGTTTTTCAAAGAATTTTACTGTCATATTATTGAAGTGTAAATGTTTTGTTATTAACGATAATGTTATGATTATCAATGTATGATTATCTATAAATGTCTGGAGGAGGACTACCACGCGATGTCGATCACTTAAAGCTCTAAACTTTCTAATTACTGTATATATCGTACTGTGTGCGTATGTACATAGTTTATATATCGGTATTTGTACGTAAATCGGAGTCCAATCTTTTATCTTTCTTGGCCCTGTCACACGATTAAAAAAAAAGCAAACCTCTAAGAAATTGCTTCTATAAAGGTTTCTGGCCGAATTGTAACATATGTGTAGCTATGCATTTTTTATTTGATTTTTTTTTGCTCAGGTTTATAGTTATTTTTTTTTTGCCCTGGATGCCGTGTTTCTAAATAAATAGCAAATGCACTAAGACATTTCGTATATTGCATAATCATGAAGCATCAGGGTGCAGTACAAATTTTCCGGAAATGGCCAGCATTATGCAGAATTATGCAGGATTATGCAGGATTATGCAGATCACGAAGATCATTCCGGAAAACAAAAAAAAATTAAAAAAAAAACACGAAAAATATGGATAACGACCGTCTAAACCTATCTTGATGCACTAATAAAAAATGTCAGGGATGCAATTTTACATGTAAGAACACTCCTAAATCTAATAAAAACAACATATATCTAGTGCTAATTAGATAAATAGTTCCGGAAAATTTGTACTGCACCCTGATGCTGTTGATATCACCGAGTAATTATTAGCTCCCGCTATGTAAAATCCAGAGGCTTGAATATTATTGAATATTACGAATGTGCAACCAAAATATTACGAATGTTCAAGCCAATGCTAACAGCCGTTTTCGAGATTATGGCATACGTCTTCAACGTCTCGTAGATGCATTCAAATGAATCATCCTTCACTATCAGAAGAAAACAACTTGAAAATTGAGGTCGTGGAATCCCAGCATTAAAAAGAGTCGATGACAGATGAGTGAAATATTTTTCATCAAATTGTAGAATTTGACTGCTGCATCGATGAATATCAAGAGCCACACACATAAGCATGGTTGCTTGTCCGTTAATTTCGCAAAAGATAGGAACTTTTAAGCGTTTTAAATCCAAAATAGTTATAATTATAATCACTATCACAAATGACAGCAGAATTACATTTCATGACGATATTGTAGTTTGCTTCTGATACCATTGAAACACGTTTTCTAGTTTTTGGATTACATAATTATAAAGATCCATTATAAAAGAGGCTTTATTGGTGTGTTTATGAAAGATTAGGGATGGCATAATTAGGATGCTTTATAGTAATATATTCTGCTATCTTTGCTGCGAAATCGTTGATTTTAAATATTATCAGATAAATTTATGTTACAGCTAAATTGATATCACAAAATTATTTATGTTGAAATTTATAACTTTGAATTTTGTGATATTTCTAAAATGGAAAACACAACCTTGTTCGTCTTATCAAATTATGAAAATCATTATTTTACTTCAAAATAATAAAAAACATGTTTTGAGTGCTTATATCATATAAATGACAGCAGAAAAAGAAACGGAATATTTGTAAAAGAAAATACTAATAAAATCTGAATAGCTAGAACACATGGTTTAAAAATATATGCATCTCGAGCTAGATCTTGAAACTTTGCAAAACAATTGTTACAAACTTTTTTTTAAATTTGTAATCAATTTTACAATAACTTTTGATCACAGTAACTTATGATTTTAAAATATTCAATATGATTTTATCAAGGTAAGGAGGATGATAAAGGATATAAATAATATTAGTCTAATGATATCTTGTTAATACTAAAATAACTAGAACTACAGTCTTGACTGCATTTTATAACAATTTATGCTTGTTAACTTTTTTTCAAAATTTTCATTAAAATTAATAAATCTAATCATATATCTATAGACAAAAATCGGGAATAAAACCCCTAAAGTATTATTTCTATAACCATATTGAACAGCCTATTAACCATTTATTTGATTGAATCTTTTACAGTATATACTGCAAGACATTCATTCAATTTTTAACCGGAAAGTCTTCACATAAGAACTTGTTATCCGCTTGGGCGGCAGTCCTAAAACAGGAAAAGGAAAAAATTTTCAGAACCTCAACTTTTAATAATTTCTCATGGTCATATTTGTTAGTTTCATATGTACAAATTTTTGCCCTATTTCTTATAACGATCATCATGTGGTACATTTTCGTAGGTATAAAAAAATTTAATTATCAAAATTCACATTTGTTTATGGAGATGAGACTGCATGTGTACTTAAATGTCGATTGATAGGTTATAAGGATGGATAAAAATTAATATTGACCAAATTGAGAATTTTGTCAAGGTCTATAATTATACTATTTAAAATTAATAGTGTGAACAAAGATATAAATACTATATAGTAATTAAAAATAAGTTTTTAAAACATTGAATTGAATGCCACTGTTTTTATGCTAAAGCGATAGTAAAGGGTTAATTAAATTATAATAAATTATGTATTTGTTCACAATATTGATAAAGTTATGAAATTTATTTTTTATTAATTTGAAATATTTCATAATCCTCTTCGTATGTAGATTCATTTCTAATTTGTTTTTCATATACTAAACTTTTACGGCTCCAACACATTTTATCTTGATTAAAATTATCTTGCATAACAAGAGTCCACCAACAAATACCAAAAATTGGTCCATAATCAGAACGACAGTAAATTGAACGGTCCGAAACTTTTACATGACTTAAAATAGAATTTTGGATAGTACCATTTTTCAATGAAAAAATAAAACTATCATTACAATTTTTAGAGAAATTACTTCCGGGTACAGGTTTATCCCATCCAACAGGATTATATCCACCAAGAATTTCATCAGTACCCTTAACCTTCATAACTACAATAACTTGTGTTTTCTTATCACATAATTTCCAAAATGAAGCAGCAGTAAAACCATCTCTAGTTCCACAAAGAAGTAATTTGAAGTCGTATGGATTATTTTCTACAGAATACGTATCGGCTTTTTGTATCGGCTTTTTCATCAACCCATGAAGCAATTTCTGCTGCATGTGAAACACTGATAACTCTTGAAAATGATTCGGTATTTCTAGAAAATGGGTTAGTAATGATAGCAGGAACTACTGAAAACAGTTTGGAAAATCCAGTAGGAACTGCTAAAAATGATTCGGTAACTCTAGTAGGTAATGTTGGTTTTGAAAATTGACGAGGAGGAAGAACGGTTGATGATATTGGTTGGTTTGTCATAAATTTTCTTGTTATGTCATTCCAAAGTTTTTTTTCAAAAATTTGTTGATATGGTTGCACATTATTAAAAATATCATCACCAGACATTTGAAAATAACGGATATGAGGCAAACATTTCTGTAAAGTGGTCTTTAAAGCCAGAAAATTTTCATGAGACCAATTTTCGAGGTTAAAAGGTAGCCCAGGATTTTTAGCAATTCCCCATTCGATAACGCGATTCCAAATTTTTACTTCTTCCATTTGTAAATCATCTCGACTAATAAGTGATACTAACGTATTTTCTTGAATTGTGAACAAATCTTCTGAATCAAAAATCTTACTGGGATATTTCACTAGAAAATCATTGCACCATTTTTGCAATTCTTGAAGCCTTTTATCATTCTGGAAACTTGTTTGATAAATCCGAGTAAAATGTAAACGAAGCCAGTGAGCTTCAGTTTCAATTAAATGAGTTTCAAAAAGAAATTCGTAAGCAATAATCATAAGTTCAAAAATAAATGATGCATCGCATTTTTCAAGTGTAACTATTCCTCCATAGATATATCTTTTAAAATTTTAGCATATTTTAGATTTCTTTTCAAAATATAAATATAGACAATAAATTATATAAATAACTTACTTTATAATAATCTCAAATTGTTGGATAGAAATATTTTTTAAGTCAATTGTTTTAAAATTATTTCTATCTTTACCGCTATTTTTTAATTCATTACGAAAGTATAAAGATCTGTATCTTAAAATTGCCGAATGCGCTTGGAATTTCTTAGTATTTGGGTATTCTCCAA